CCGCTCTAGCTGCATAGAGGGAAGAAAAGAGAACTTCCTTACAAAAACCGAGTGAGAAGGTCCCGGAGCAGCTAAAACCAGTCCTAAATACAGAATCAGAGTCCTACAGATATAAGCGTCAAGGGGCAACATCCTGCGAGTGACTCTGTAGGAAGGTGATGCTACTGGATAGTCAGTTCCACTGGTCTGTGGATTGGATGATGGCACTGGATTTACTTATGAGCAGACTGAGGCAGGCCCCCAGAACTCTGGTTTTCTGTGCTAATTATGTCCTACCACTCCTCCACGTCTGCTCTGCCAAGCTTCTAAAACTGATGGGAAATGGGGGTGACACCTGACTCAAGCCAATCTGTAGAGGAGTCAGAAGCAGGTAAGGCTCACTCCAATGGGGGAAATGGCAACTGACTGGCCTGAAAAGTTTCTCTCCCATTGGAACCTGGAGAGGAGACATAGAAAGAAGACTAGAAAGCTGGTGAAGGGAAAGAAAGATGAAAAGGAGACAGAAAGTAAGCAAAGAGAAGCTCAAAGCTTCTTTCTTACAAAGGTAAGAAAATATACCAGTGAGAAGACATGAATAGGATCAAAAAATAAAAACATTAAGGAGAGGATGAGCTAGTTGGCTAGCAGGTAAAGAACCAAAGAGAGAGGAACTAAGTAACTACACTGGCAGGAGGGCATCCGCTAACTCTTGTTACTGAGAGGGCAAATGATGACTCAGTCTTTAGAGATGTACTGGATTCTTCCAATTTCTAAACTACTTACTGTACTTACTCTGTGAGGCCCAGTTATAGATCTGCTCTCATGAGATTCCCATCTCTGTTAGTGTCATGTGTGGCTTGAAAGTAAATCTCCTTTACTGGAGGCACCTGGGGAGTGGTTTGGTCCTTGCAACCAAACAAGAAGGAAACCTCTTTTCAAAGTCCTATGGTGTGAAATGTGTTGGGAATATGGGTAAATCACATTTAGCAACCTCCCAAATGAACCAAGCAGAATTACAGAACTTTATTAGGGACAATCATGATAGTTACATGTATATACAACTTACTTTAACTAAACCATGTCCTGTGTCTATGTTCTATCAAGGAAAAGAGATCTGAACAGCTATGTAAATTTCTGACTGGCAATGTGAAGGGTCAGAGGTAAGATTTTAGAGCTATATTTTCGAGCTCATAAATTATTTATCAGAATTAGTATTAAGAACCGTCAAGCAACTCCTTTAATAACCCTAATAATGTGTAAAGAAGAGTTTCTGAGTTCTGATTCTCAGGTCCAAGGAACATCACATTTGGCTAGCCCATTCTGAAACAAAGATATCTATAAAGAACAGGGATTCAAAGGGCACCAGTCAGCTGTGATCCCTCAAATATTATAAAACCAAACAGTGTAGAAGTGAATTTTGCTTGAGTTAATCCTCTCGAATAGGCATATGACCTATGTGACTAAAGAATGATTGTGATTTATCTGCTGCTACCATGGGCCTAAGGCATTGACAGCCATGTATATATATATTTTTTAAATCACAAGCCTTAAGCATTCCATATGAGCTCATTTGCAATGCTTCGTCTGGATTTGTTCTTCTCTCGCAGGAACACTTGACCCATGCTACAAATATATTTCCAGGTTTTGAATTTTCAGGGACAACTTTTTCTGTTGATTCCAGATTCACCTCTCCTCAACAATGGGGAAGAAAATATCACTGAGTTTTATATATCTATTTCATGTCATTCTAAAATATCTGAGATGTGGTAAACATGGTTTCTGACTGCTAGTATGTTGATTCATATCAAAACATGACTATATTCCCTTATACTGAATTAAATAGCAATGGCTTAGGAAAATTAAAAAGTATTGATCCTTATGAAGAACGGACATAAGCATCCTACATAGGTAACACACCCAACTTCAATGAGTTTAGTTAGTTCTTTGTAATCTTCTATATTTTCTCACATTCTTATTGTTCTCAGCCCTTGATTTCATTTTATGAAATTTAAATGTTTCAGTAAACAAACAAACAAAAAACCCTAACACCGTTTAAAAAGAACAACAGAGAAAACTAAACTTAAAATCCTACTGTTTAAAGTAATAATTAAGGCTACAAATTTAAACTGGGAAATAATGAAAATGATAAAAGTTAAATCTCTCATAGGGACATAAACTTACTCCAAGATAGCTTGGATTTTTTTTAAAAAAAAACTATCTGAGGATTTTGTTACATTTAAATCAAGACACATTCTTTAGACTTTTCCAAAACAGAGCCTCTGCAACAGGTAAAAGTTACATTGGAAGCATTTACAATTTTTACTTCCTGATACAAATGCTCAAATTTGCAACCTTAATGTTATATATACGCAGATTTACACATTCAGATTATATATGAAAAACACATCAACTTTTCTAGTCTACCACGTTATCCAAAGAGCTACTTTCCTGTACCTTTTCTCTTCTTGCCCTTTAACTGACCGAAGGTATTCCTCTGAATTCTGGTATCAGACAAGTTGATTTGAAAAGTTAATTTAGAATAGTCTCAAAATGTAAATAAAACTGGACTAAATTCTTAACTTACATATGGTATATTTATATGTCAAACTATCATCAAGAAAAAATAATCTGGGGAACTTTCCAGGATTTCAGTTTTCACTTTGAATTTGATGTGAGAATAATACGGTTGTAATTATACAGGTTTCACAGGCTTCTTAGGGATGTAGCAGTGGAGAAGGGGGGAGAGCAAGGTCAAGGGGGTAACAGCTAGACAATGCCTATTTCCACTGAGTCAGCATCTCCAGACCTGCTGGTCTTCGTGAGACATGGAAGGCACGTGGGAGCATGGGAATAAAAGGGAGCGTGATCCAGATAATGAGGGAATAAAAAGAACAAAGAGCTGACCATCAGTCAAAGACACCTAATACTACAACACGCTCTATGGATACTGCAGGTCACATACTGTTCTCAAGTATTAATAGGGAGCAACATCAGTAGCAGTGTCATCTTCAAGAACCAGACAAATGGTGATTAGAAGACTCAACAAAAATAGAATCTGTATGTGACACTCACAATGCCTACAAATGAATGCCATTCTGCTTTAGAAGTCTTAATAGTGCTTTATGGCTTGAGCTAAGAAAATTTCATTGAGGGGACAACTCTGATTTATGAACACATAAACTAAAGGTAAGTAAATTTTAGTTAAGTATTTTACCTGTTTATCTAATAAGCATTAATTAAAGGGGGGCAAAAATATACAAAATAACTGAACTCAATGATTAGTCAGCAAAAGCTGAGGTTCATAAATAAAGGTAAAATTTCTTTAAAAGTACTATAACAAGTCATGTGGGGAATTCTTTGACTGTAACAATTCAAAGTTTATGTTAATTTTTGGAAACATATAAGGTTTACCTAAAGCAAAGCAGAAAGACTGACTTTTTTACTCCATTAATTTGTAACTTTTGATTATTTTGACAAATGTTTAAGAGTTTGCTTTACTTCATAAATAAAAACCAGAAATCTTTTATTTAAGGGAGATTAATATAACCAGATTGTAGGAAATATCTTTAGCTTAAGTAAGACATCACACTAGTTTTAGGTACTTAATATTAAAGGCATCTATCTCCATAAACATATTAAAAATAGGAATTTACACAGAGATCTGTTATTTTAAAATTGGAAGACTAAATACAAAGTTTAGAAACAATAAGCTAAGTCCACACTTACTCACAACTGATTTTAAGAGTAGTAAAAGCCTAAAATTTAAAACTCAATGTTTTGATTATAATGGTTTTAACTAAAAATATTTTAAAGTCAAGTGTCAGAGGACACTGCTCTTTAATTAACAAAAGTGACAGATTTTGAATTTCAATTCTGTCTACTAGGGGAGTCAAGGTCTGTAAATAGTCTGCAAGAAGAGCAACTGACAAATAGGTCTCTGTGAAAGGACTCTACATAGAAACAACGGGAGAATTAAAAATCCTTTTTTATTAATTAAAATGAACCCTCAGGGCTTCCCTGGTGGCGCAGTGGTTAAGAATCTGCCAGCCAATGCAGGGGACACGGGCTCAAGCCCTGGCCCGGGAAGATCCCACATGTAGCAACTAAGCCCATGAGCTACAACTACAGAGCCTGCGCTCTAGACCCTGCAAGCCACAACTACTGAGCCTGCGTGCCACAACTACTGAAGCCCATGCACCTAAAGCCAGTGTTCAGCAACAAGAGAAGCTACGACAATGAGAAGCCCGAGCACCGCAATGGAGAGTAGGCCCTGGGGCTTCCCTGGTGACGCAGTGGTTGAGAGTCCGCCTGCCGACGCAGGGGACACGGGTTCGTGCCCCGGTCCGGGAAGATCCCACATGCCGCGGAGCGGCTGGGCCCGTGAGCCATGGCTGCTGAGCCTGCGCGTCCGGAGCCTGTGCTCCGCAATGGGAGAGGCCACAACAGTGAGAGGCCCGCGTACCGCAAAAAAAAAAAGAAAAAACAATCGTAGGCCCTGCCCACCGCAACTAGAGAAAGCCCGCACACAGCAACAAAGACCCAACACAGCCAAAAAAAAAAACCAAAACAAAACTAACAAATAAATTCATTAATTAAAAAAAAAAAAAGAATCCTCAACAATCTCTCCTTTTATTTAGTATAAAAAAGTTTATACATTCTAAAACATACAGCTGTTTTCTTTTTAACTAGTTAATAATCTAAATTTTTCATTAGTTCATATGATTTCTACCCTCTTTAATTGCCCCCCAAATAATTCCAAATTTATTTTAAAAATACAGCAGCATTCACTGTATTTTCTCATTTTTGGAGTTACCAATGCATTTCTTTGGTCCTAAACAGTAAGAATTAACCAAAAGCATTTTCATGGCGTAGGCTAACAACAATAAGGTTGACTTACCAACACATTTCATATAAACTAATCCAAGTAATTCTGCTAGAGCTATAATACCCAAACCTGAAATCAGAAGAGGACCATGTACTGGGGTACACTCTGAAAAAACAAATGAAATTCTATATTAGAAATTCACATGAAATAATTGAACTTTTAAAAAAGAACTAGCAATAACAGTAATAATATTGAGTTTTAAGGAGATTAATTCTTTTTCTAATTATCAAGAAACAAAAATTATCTACATATGTTCAACACTATTAAGTCAGTCAGTGAAATGACTCCCAATTACTAAAAGAAAAAAGCCTTTGTCTGTATAATATGTACCTTATCACACCAAGACTAATGGAAAATAGTGTGTAAAGCTAAGGCTCCAACCAACTGGATGGAGCCTGGTTATTTTAAAAGCTCTCCCACAAATATAGGCATAGCAGTTTGACTGCTGGAACAATCAGCCCACAAGCCATATACAGCCAATATTCTTATGGCAATGTGGAAAGCACTATTCTCAGTGGGGTGAAAATGAGAGTTCTAAAAGAAAGCTCACAGCACCAAATGGCTGGCAAGGATGTGGAGCGACAGGAATTTTCATCCACTGCTGGTGGTAATGCAAAATGGTACAGCCACCTTGGAAGACACTTTGGCAATTTGTTAAAAAACTAAATATATTCTTAACGTACAACCCAGCAAATGCACTCCTTGGTATTGACCCAAATGGAGATGAAACTTATGTCCACACACAAAAATGCACATGGGTGTCTAGAGCAACTTATTCTTAATTGCCCCAAACCAGAAGCAACCAAGCTGTCCCTCAATAGGTGAATGGATAAACAAACTGTGGTACATACATACAATGGAATGTTATTCAGTGCTAAAAAGAAAAGAGCTATCAAGCCACAAAAAGACACGGTTACTAAGTAAAAGAAGCCAATCTGAAAAGGCAAAATACTGTATGATTCCAACTATGAGACATTCTGGAAAACGCAAAACTCTGAAGACAGTAAAAAGATCAGTGGTTGCTAGGGGTTTAGGGGGAGGGAGGATGAATAGGCAGAGCACAGAGGATTTTTGGGCAGTGAAACTTTATTGTATGATATTATATCTATGACTATGATCCACGCCATTATACATTTATCAAAATCGTAGCATGTACAACACTAAGAATGAACCCTAATGTAAACTATGGATTCTGGGTGGTAATATGTCAATGCTGGTTCAACAACCGTAACACATTTACCACTCTGCTGGGGGATAGCGGAGGAGGCTGTTATGTGGGGTATATGGGAACTCTCTGTACTTTCTACTCAATTTTGCTGTGAGCCTAAAACTGCTCTAAAAAATAAAGTCTATATATTAAAAAAAAAAAAAAAAAAAAAAAAAGAAGAAAGAAAAAGAAACAGAAAGAAGAACTCTAAGAGAAATCCCTGGCAAGACAAAGTGAGACGAGAGAAGGATGAGACTTTTACCTGAGACACAGAGGCTGAATCCAACCACAGAGAGCACGTGGCCCAGTACTTGAAGGATCAATATGGCAATGGTAAAGAAGGACATCCCCACAGCTGGAGAGAGGAAAAGTGGGTCGAGAGTGTTTAAAAAGCAATCACTCCTACTCGTATTCTGTGCAATCAAGAATAATGTCCTATGACCAAAGACTGCCTCTGGAGTTCCTTGTCAGATGGTAGATTCTTTTCCAGTGATCTAAACCTTGCCTTTCCATACAAGTGGTCAGCTCCAGATACACACATTCAGCAATCTTTAATTTTCACAGTGAGCTGAGGTGGACTGGCAGTTTTTACCCCGAATCTTAAAACAGTGCTGCTTCTACCACCCTTGTGCATTTTACCACGTGAATATGGCTATTATGCCTGGCTTTGCCACACGCACACAGAATTGCTCTGGTGGAGAGAACCGTTACACAAACATGCCACTGTAAGCATCCGAACCTCTATCCGTGTGCCTAGATCTGTGACTTTATAACAAATCAATACCCCTCCAGTGTACAGCAAGCCAGAGATAGGCTCTAAGGCTGAGAGTTAAACATGTAAACAGAAAAAAATAGACTCTAACTATATAAAAAATACATTCATGATTTACTCCCAAAATGCAGTGAAAATGACATCAATTAGAGTTGGATATCTACATCATTTTTTAAAACTACAATGTAAAGATTTGCCAGTAACAAAAAAAAATAAATAAATCTATTATTTGTTATTTATAATCCTGTTTTGTCGAGTTTTAAACAGAGAGGCTTAGCAAAAGAAGAGAAAGGGCATGTTTAATATCTACTTATAGCTTCAAAAAACTGAAATAAAAATATGAAGATAATCATTAAGAAATTATGTAGCATAATTTTAAAAACCACTGATATCAAGTGTATATGAAAATCATTTTTTACAAGATAACTGAACGCCTTGAAAACCGAAGTTAACCTTAAAATTAATCCATATGGGGAAAATATCACTAAGAATAGCCTCTGGGAAATCTTTTAATAAACCAACTTCTATTGAGTTGTTAAAAAAATCATACAAGAATATTTTAACCAAAACTGCTGCTTTATAAATGAAAAAGGTGGGCAAAATCATGCTATAACAAATACTCACCTATCATAAACACACAGTACTGAAGTAATATTAATATTGCCGTAGGAATTACAATTAAACCAAGTCCACAAGCATTCTTTGTTGAATATTCACCTGTTAAAAATTAAAAATACTAATTAATATTTTCCTACACACTTCCTATTCTTATGGGATGTTAAAGTATTTAATTTATTAAATGTATGAATTTCAATACTGCTCTTATAAACTACAAAAGGTTTAAAAATATATATTTCCCCAAAAACTACACATAAAATAAATGACTTCTTTTTTGATTATTCAAGACCAAACTTAAGACATTTAAATGTCAACATATAAGTCTCAACACGTCAAACCTTGAATTGGCTCTACCCCCTTCTTACCTACCTTACATAATTCCAGTGAGAAACTCTGGAATCTCTTACCATTCCCTTCATTTGCTATATACAACCTGTCCCAGAGTCAAAGCAGGTGTTCTTTCAAGTTGTCTTCTGATTCATATCCTTCCTCCCCACGTCTTTACTAACTCCAGGTGCAAACAGAGGTGCCAAATTTATGTTCCTAAACATTACACCTATACTGTATTCTGCTCAAAAAACAACAAAGGCTTTCTACAGTTTACACTTGTGAGTCCCAGCCTGTCTCTGCTGTTCTTTCCATGTGCTGCAGACCCTTATTTCCCACTCACACTGCCATCCTTCACAGGCAACTGCAATTTCAGATAGATCTGCTTCCCACATTTGTTCCCACTTCCAGGTCTTGGCCAATGAAGTGTGCCTCTGGAGTGCGTTGAATGGTGGCCCTAAAGATATGTCCACCTCCAAATCCCCCGAATCTGTGAATATTAACTTATATAGTAAAAGATATGATTAAGCTAAGGATCTGAAAGAAGGAGCTTACCCCGGATTATCCAGGTGGGTCCTGAATCCAATGACAGGTATTTTTGTAACAGAGAGACAGAGGGAAATTAAGTGGAGACATGGAGCGGAGGAGGAGACAATGTGACCACGGAGGAAATCAGAGTTATGCTGCCACAAGCCAAGGAGCTGCACAGATTGCCAGATACACCAGAAGGTAGGAGAGGCAAGGAATGGATTCTCCCCTAGAGTGTCCGAGGGTGTATGGCCCCGATAACATCTTTATTTCAGATTTATGGCCTCCAGAACTGTGAGAGAATTTCTATTGTTTTAAAATACCCAGTTCGTGATAATTTGTTACAGCAGCCCTAGGAAACTAATATGCACCTCCCCAGAAATGCCCTCAACCTTATCAATCCTGCTTTCCCTCATAATAACTTTATATCTTACCTGGGATGAAAAGAATGGCTCCAACAATGACAACGATAGTGAGCACTAGTCCAGTAACTAACAGAAAAATGGTTTTCTCCTTCGTATAACTGGATTTATATTTAAGCGCTTAAAAAAAACACACAAAGAATTACATGAACTCAATCACAAGAAGTAAAGCCATTTCTGTAACTTACGAGGTGCAAAGATTAAACTGATAACTTACTACAATTGAATAACCTTTGAGGAACAAGTCCTTCACATCATGTCAAGCCATGTCAAATCTTTTTCACAATATGTCAGTGGCTAAATGGTGTCATGGCAGTATAAATATGGATGCTGAATTTATAGGTGACACTTTATTCCCCTAGAATGAAGTTATATATATCAGGCTTTTTTTTTTTTTTTTTTTTTTTTTGTGAGTGAGTGTCGTCGCAGGTCAGGGTCAGACCAATGGATCACTGTACTCAACAGCTATATCCTCCAGCCATTGCCCCCAAAGTGTCTCCCCAGAACCTGTGCAGCTCTGCCCCCTCATGCACCCACAGTAACATGATCATTCTTTCCTCCAATTTAGTTACTTGCAATTCCAAAGAACTTCTGATTCCAGAATTTAGAATTCTAAGTCAGTTAACCCGCGTCCCCTGCATCGGCAGGCGGACTCTCAACCACTGCACCACCAGGGAAGCCCTATCAGTCTTTCTTAATCGTGGCATTATTAATATTTTGGGTCAGATAAGTTGTTGTTGTTAGGGACTGCTCTGTGCATTACAGAATGCTTAGTACCATCCCTGGCCTCTGCACACTACATGCCAGTAACAGCCTCCAAGCTGCATCAATCAAAAATATCTCCCGACATTGTCAAATGTCCCCTGAGAAGCAGAACTGCCTCAGGTTTACAACTAATATACACATTGCTGATGAGAAATAACTGGCTAATTAGTAATAGTGACAAAAACAGAACTTTCTTCCACCTTACATAAAATTAGTAAAGCATCTGGAAATCTAGACATTTTGTTTTGAAAAAGTAAACATTGGACAAATCACACCCTCTTGAAATCCTGAGGTGGGGGGAAATGCTTTAATTGTTCAAGTAAAATAATTTCATAAAAATAAACTACAAATAGGCCTTAACGTATGTGTTACGCTTTTGTCAAGTATCCAGCTTCCCTAAAAGAATAATGTAATGCATAAGCCTAAAAATGTTATATTTTTATCATATATTCACCCTTTGGGTTTTGTTCTGGTTAATATTAAAACTAATTTTTCACCAAGAAAGTTGTTAAAAGCAACCTAAAAGCAGACTGAGTAGCAGAGAGAAATAGAGTGCATGATGAAATTCTGCTGTTTCCTCTACACACGGTACTCTCCATGCCACTTATCAATGGGCGATGGTCCTGAGGGGGAAATTTTAAGTAATTTTATGTTTAGCATTTAATTTGCATCCACTAAAATGACAAACAGATCAATTATAGTAAAAACAACAAATAAACTCCTAAATGACCATGACAAAATCTATGTTTAAGGTATTATAACCTAGGGTTAGATTATAACCTGTGGTTAAGGTATTTAAAGTATAATACAGGCACTTGAATTTAAAATCTCTACTCATACTTTAGATTGTAACCTCAACTTTTTCCTCTTTAGAGGGAGATGGAGGGCCAATCAGTAATCTAGTCCTGAAGGTAAGTGAAATCCACATTAATCAGAAAAGAGTGAGAAACAATACAGCAAGCTCCCCAAACTTTCATTTGATCCATCCAGCCTCGAAATTTATGTGACTATGACTCAGTCATGTCCCTGCCTTCTTACAGGGCAAAGATTTTGGGCTTCCCTATTTTCTAGGGTCAAACACTGGCTAGGATGAAATTCAATGTAGAGGTCACAAAAGGCACAGACACAGAAAAAGAAACTTTCTCTAGACATGTGTCCATTTTAATCCCATGTTTCCATTTTAATCCCATGTATACTATTATTTAAAGAGAGTTTGAAAGTTCTGCAAAAGGGTTATAAAACAGAAGCTGTTTCAAATGTACTTCACAATCAATCAAACATTCATAAGAGACTCTTCTAGGTTTAATTCAGTACATAAAAGAGCTAAAAAGATCAAGCAACAAGAATTCACCTTAGAGTCCAGTATAAATTCACACAAAAAGTCTGACTTACACCATGCTTAAGAAAAATAAGAGTTTGAACCTCATATAAAATTCAATCTCCTCAGGCTTACAAGAGCTGTAGGAGAAAAATAATATCAACAATACAAACAAAAATAAAATGCCACAAAATGCTATTATTGACAGGGTTGTTATCATAGAATGGTCTTTTCAAAACCTTTTGGAGGTAGCTTTCATTCCTGTTGATTGGTTCAACTACTAATTTTCAAGGCTACCTAACCTCTTCCTCAAAATTAAGCAGCAATTTCTAACAAATATACTAGTAGGGTCTACTTAAGTAACCACAGGCAATGAAAGGTTATCTTCATGTTTTCTTTTGTAAACCTTTAAAAAGGGTTTCTTTTCACTCATTTTCATTGCTTACAATGGCCACATTTTAGCAGGTCCCATAGCAAGTCTGGAGAAAGTATCTTGTTGCTAGGTTCAGATGTCATGTTTCCAGCTAGCTAAATGGTCAGGAATCTGATATGGATGCCACAGAACCCACTAACCTTAAGTATTTATTTTTGTGCGTGTGATCTGTTCTTGTCCTTTAATAAGTGGATTTGTTCTTATTTATCAAACCTATCAAAACTTTAAATGTAACAATGAAAATAAATTCAAGTAATTCCCCGAACATTTAGCATTAAGATAATTTCATGTGTTCTTAACTGCAGGCTCTTATCAAACTTCCTGGTATGATTTTCTGGCAAAAATCCTCATGCTTTCAACGATAGACCTTAGCTAAAAGTACTGAAATCAATGCACAAAATAAAATAGGGGAAATACAGTATTTACATTTTTTAAAGACTTTTTTTTTAAGCGCAGTTTCAGGTTTACAACAAAATTGAGAGGGAGGTACAGAGAATTAACATATACTCCCTTCCCCCACATATGCATAGCCTTCCTAATTATCAACCTCACTCACAAGAATGATACTTTGTTTTTTTACTAAGGATGAACCTGCATTGACCCATCATAATCACCCAAAGTCCATAGTTTACATTAGGGTTCACTCTTGGTGCTGTACATTCTATGGGTTTGGACAAATTTATAATGCCATATATCCAATATATACAGAGTATCTTCACTGCCTAAAAATCCTTTGTGCTCTGCCTGTGCATCTCTCCTCCCCACCACCCACTCCTAGCAACCACTGACCTTTTTTTTTTTTTTAAACATCTTTATTGGAGTATAATTGCTTTACAATGGTGTGTTAGTTTCTGCTTTATAACAAAGTGAATCAGTTATACATATACATATGTTCCCATATCTCTTCCCTCTTGCGTCTCCCTCCCTCCCACCCTCCCTATCCCACCCCTCTAGGTGGTCACAAAGCACCGAGCTGATCTCCCTGTGCTATGCGGCTGCTTCCCACTAGCTATCTATTTTACATTTGGTAGTGTATATATGTCCATGCCACTCTCTCACTTTGTCACAGCTTACCCTTCCCCCTCCCCATATCCTCAAGTCCATTCTCTAGTAGGTCTGTGTCTTTAATTGTCTGCATAGTTTTGCCTTTTCCATAATGCTTTATAGATGGAATCATATAGTATGTAGCCTTTTCAGATTGTCTTCTTTTACTTAGGAATATGTATTTAAGGTTCCTCCATGTCTTTTCATGATTGACAGCTCATTTGTTTTCAGTGATGAATAATATTCCATTGTCGGGATGTACCACCCAGTGTATCCATTAACCTATTGAAGAATATCTTGGTTGCTTCCAAGTTTTGGCAATGATGAAGAAAGCAGCTATAACCATACATGTGTAGGTTTCTGTGTGGACTTAAGTTTTCAACTCCATTTGGGTAAATACCAAGGAGCACGATTACTGGATCATATGGAAAGAGTACATTTAGTTTTACATGAAACCACCAAACTGTCTTCCAAAGAGGCTGTACCGTTTTGCACTCCCGCCAGCAATGTATGAGAGTTCCTGTTGCTCCACATTCTGACCAACATTGGGTATGGTTGGTACTTACATTTTTAACAGATACTTATAAACTTAGTGCTGCCTGACATGGGAATACCAAATATACGGGGAGACAATGTCAAGTTTTTTCAACAAATTAGGAATTCTAATTCCCTTTTCCCTTTTATACCATCTATAAAGTAATTAAATCTAGCCAGCTTCTTCTCAGAGATGAGACAGTTGTTCATTTGCTTGCTCTATAAATACTTACTGTGTGCTCACCATGCACTGGGCCCTTTTATTAGCCCAAGCCATATCAACCAAATTGAGGTAGGAGTAGAGGTTACTTTATTCAGTAACAGTTGATCGAGCACCTACTATGTGACAATCACTATTCTAAGTGCTGACAGTGAACAAAGACAAGTACTTCTGCCTCAGTGCTCCTGACGTTCTAATATGGGAATGAGTGTGTGTGTTGGTGGGGAATGTGTCATGGGAAGTGTTACTCCCAGATCTTCTCCTCCAGTTAAATAAAAGGTGTGGGTCTACCCTAGCCTAAGAAAGCCCTATTATGTATTTAATCTTTCACATTCCTGCGAACAGAGAAATGACATGTCCCTCTAGCCGCCTGAAGAAACGTGGCTAATACTATGAATAGATACTCCATTAAGGCTTTCTTGTCTCCTTGTCACTGACATAAAGCAATACGAGACAGAATGCAGGCTGTGACAGAAGTCGTCTAGTGAAATTACCAGGCTCAACTTGGAGATCAAATAAAACTATCATCTTAGTTTTAATGACACCCCAAAGATGGTATTCAATAAGTCCACATAGATCCACACAGGCTGAAGTCCACCTAACAAAACCCTAAAATCCATGAACTCAATGCCTGTTGTTGTAATGCATGACATTTAAATGATCCCTTACTAAGTGATTAGTGAGTTAGTGGCAAACAGGAAGGTTAAACAGTGAGGTAAAATGCACATCAAATAAGGAAAAAAATCAGGGCTTCCCTGGTGGCGCAGTGGTTGAGAGTCCGCCTGCCGATGCAGTGGACACGGGTT